GCGTGCTCGTCGGTGCATGTATGCAACCATGTTGTGTGAATGTGAGCGGCTTTTAAAGAGCACATGGGCAGTGTTTCTGTCCACATTGTTACCTTCGAGAATGTGGGGCTGCTTCTTTTTTGGTGGTCAGCCTTAGTGGAAGACCCCTCAGAACTCTCTTCCATGTTGTGTGGGCCCCCCTTTTCTTGTGTGGGAAGAATGTGACAACTGTTGAGTCTTTCCCTGTTATCTGGAATGCGTTTCTATCTGATGCTGTCGTGTAATTATGAACGACCCTTTCTTGATGAAAGTGGTAGTTGTGAGATGCCACAGCCATGAGCTTTCAAGAAATCATCTTGATTGACAATGATGTTTGGGATCTGACTATTTTACCATCTACGCAGGTGTTGCGAGAAGGTGCATATGGCGTGAAGAGAATGAGCTTATGATTCGTTGTTGTGAGACCAACATCCATCCTATGTTGGCATCGTGCTTGTGGAAGGTCGATGGCGAGGTACCTTCTGACAACAGGGGGTTGTAACTTGTTAAGTGATATCGGTGAGCACACAAGTGATATCGGTTTTCACGATATCGGTTATTATGGTGTGAAATTGCCTCAGAGTTGAGTTGGTGTGCTGATCTGAGCAGTATGGAGTGGCAGCCAACTGTGTTTTGAGTTCTACGATATCGGTTAGTATGGAGTGCTATTTATTGTGATCTTAGAACTCTCTGTCATGTCTGGCTATGCACACCGAGCATTGATTGGTGCATCTTTAACGTTGGGTGATGTGATAATCTGCTTGAACTGCATCACATTTCGTTTTTTGAAGGTGTGCGTTATAGTGATATAGATTGTAGAGGAGGATCAGATCGCTTTCTTAGCAGTATGGAGGTGGTGTTGATGATCGTAATGGGGGGAGTGGAGAGGCATTAAGGTCGAAAGTGGGGAGATCAGATTACTCTCTCTCTCTCTCTCTCTCTCTCTCTCTCTCTCTCTCTCTCTCTCTCTCTGTTTTCATGTGATGCCACTTGGCCAAAAGAGAGCAGGAAGTGGACAATTGATCACTATCTCTCTCTCTCTCAATGTTGAATCATGATCATGCGCCTTTGTCCTGAGATCCTGGCAATTGTAGTTCTTCATTGCTTTTCTGGAGTTGTCCCACGGTTGATCTGTCGCGTTTGATGGCTTTTCCCTGTGGAGGTCTTCTCCTTCGTATGAGATGACATTACAAATTGTTAGAATGCTAAGTAACTCAGTGTTGTGATAAGGATGCTGGCGATTGGTTCTCTCACTATCTTCATGTGACATTAGGGGAGGACGGGGCAAGCAGATGTCCAAAGAAACTGGCATGTAAACGTAAAGGAGCATTAATTAAGGGATCATGACGATGTTGAATCAGGATGAATTTGACTGTCAATGGTGTGTTTTTTTCCTTTTCTGGAATTATGATGGGTAATCCTCATAGAGGAGTAACGAATTTTGGCATTCAATACATCGCAGTAATCGTTGTGCATTTTCTAGGCTCAGTGGGTGTTGATATAACATGATATTATTCGGGAGATTTTTTTATCTGCCCTTCCTGACTTCCATTTATTTGCGGTATGCCCCTCCGAAAATGCCCTGGCGTTGTTTGGCCCTGAAATGTGTTTATTATGCCCCCACCAGTACCGGGTTCGTGCTGGAAGATTTGCACCCCCAGGGCCAGGGGAATGGTCGCGATGGCCAAAGGGGCATGCTTCAAGATTTGCACCCCTCACTGACAGGGGCCTGCAGGAGACTTCAGAGGCCGCAGTGGCACGGCAGGGTAAGGTGGCCATTGGAGTGTTATACCGCAAATAAACGGAAGTCGGAGGAGCACGTTGAAAATTTCCTTGTATAATATTATTGGCATTAACTCAGTGTGGCCTTTTTAACACCCCGCATCTTTTGTGGGGGGTCAGGGGGAGTCGAAGGGTATAATGGAGCTGGGGAGGGGCAGAGTGTTCTGTCACACTGTGCCTTCATTCACAGGGCGTCCATCCAGGTCGCAGTTGCCAAGCCTCTGCCTTCATTCTTTTTCGTTGCTGTTCGTCATCTGGCATAGACTGTCCCGTCTTGTGCCATTCTGACTGTATTTGAACAGGATCTGTTCTTTACGTCGTACACTTTCCTGTATCTATGAATTGCTGGCCTTTGTGATGTTTTGGCCTGTAGAAACGTCCCTCTCCCAGTATGCAAGGAAGCAAGCTGACAACAACCAAATGAATGCCAGGTGTTTTGTTAACGACCCCCTGTTTGTTGGGCTTTTTTCTGTATCAGATATTACACCTTCCTTAACCTTTTGGCTAAGATGAAGTGTCAATGACTTCCTTGCTGTATTGACAGCTCTGTTTGTGTCAAGTCAGTGTCATTTGGAATGGATTTTGCCGGGCTCGTGTGTTGTTCGTCGATGGATGATTCATTCTACCTCGACTACTCCGTTGTATTTGCCTGTGGACCTTTATTTCGATCTCACACATGAGATGGTATGAAAGTTGTTTTGGTCCTTAATTTCGATATCACCACACAACACTGCTCATGCATTTGGACGGCTTCTAGAGGGGATGCATTCAAATTGTTGGACGTGTCTGAATGCACATGGTCTAGATAGCCTTGGGATGCATGTCGAGTGCTGTGTAGTCGAGTAAGGCCCGTTTGTCTACTGACGGTAGCCTCATTACACTGTTTCCCATTTACCGGCATTTCGGCAGAGTGTTGTACCGAAAAGGACTTCTGTGTGAGTTGTGCAGATTGCTGGAAAGTGTGATTTCTGTCTGTGATGCTGAGATCCATGCCAAGATCTCGGTTTGTGGAGGTGGGGTTGAGCGACCGTGATGGGCAGGGGTGTCTGCAAAAGGCCATGGCAGATGGGATTGTCAAATTACCCCTCTTCAGTATGTGTAACCAGGAAATGTCAATTTACACCTTTAAATGGGAAGTAGTGTAGCAACGTGTGGAGTCGGTCGCTGGTGAGTTTTGGAGTAATCCGTAATCATCTCTCTCTCTCTCTCTCTCTCTCTCTACGATCGAATTAGTCTCTGCTTGTGGTGATTTCAGCAATATCGAACTTCCAACGAGTTGATGAACGCTTATCTTTTCTTGTAAAAAACAGGAGTCCCTGCCCTGTAGGAGGGGTGTGATATGAGCAGCCCCCTGCTACTAGTGTCTTGACCTGAAGAAAAAGTAGGTACGTTGAATACGAATAGTGTAAGGGTTACGTTGTACATGAATACTATGTATGGGGTATGTTGTATTCAAATACAACGTATCTACGTCGTACAATGACGTACAGGGTACAACTTTGCAGGAGTTTGTAGTTACTCGCAAAAATCGTTTTTTCTTAGTAGAACCTAGGGAGATATCCCGGGCCCTCGGGTCCCGCTGTCACGCCCGTATTGGCGACAGGGTGACCGGCCGGGCATGGGGAAGCCTCAGCGAAAAAAGAAAAAAAAAAATCAAATCCAAAAAATCTGAAAAACAAATGTGTAGAATTGCAATACAAACAACTTTTGGCTGAGGGTCACATCAGAATTCCTCACAGAACTAAAGATAACAAAGAAAATAACCAAATCACACTATGGCACCCCCCTTTAATCCCCTTTAGCCCCTCTAAAATTCATTTACACTCCCCTTCCCCCCCTTGACAGCCAACACTCAAAAAAAGAAAAGAGCCTCCTCTCGGAAAGCGCGGAAAAACCCCTCCGCCATTTTTTTTTTATTTTTTTTTTCTTTGCTATAACCGGGTCACCCGGCCGTCAGACCCCCCCCGGGTGTCATGCCCGGGTGACCGGCCGGTCATGAGAATCTTCCTATCTAGCTGGACATCGTTTTTTTATTTGTTTTATCTAATTTGATTGCGAATTCACCAAGACTCTCAGGCAAGAGTTGTTTGTATTGCAATTTTGTACAACATAGGGTTTTGGGAATCTTTTTGGATTTTGTTTTATCGAAATTCTTAAAAAATCCTAAAACACGAAGTGTTCTTAACGAGTCAGAAAACACGGCGAATTCTTACAATTGTCTTTATTTTCCGAATTTTGAAATTTCTGACTTTTCTGAAATTTTGAAATTAGCAAAACTTCTAAAACAATGTATGTACGCTTGTTGTATTCGAATACAATCTATGCACGTTGTAATCGAATACAACGTACGCACCTTATATTTGGTACGTTCTATTCCAAAAATCTTGGTGGAGTGTCTCACCTTCTGGAAATGGGGTCCATTGTGCCATGAATTCAAATAAAGAGGACTTATGGGACTGCAAGTCACCATCTGCCAGCATTGGTTGCCCGGTGCGGCGTGCCGACTATGTATACTGCCACTTCTGCTTCGCTGCATGAAAAAAAATAGACATTCATTTCAATTTTATTGCATTTCCACCGTACTTGTATACATTCTGAGATTCTTTATGTTATTGCGATCCTGGCAGCACTACTCTCCAATGAGGCGTAGCAGATACGAGTGTTCCGCATTCCAAGACATCTCGGGTTCTTTGTGGCACTAAAGAAAATTTCTTGTTTGGTGTGGGGAATTTGCAGCGAAGCGCAAGCCCTTGTGGTTAGTGGTTACTTCTGGTGACTATCCGGCGTCTTTTTGACTGACATGTCAAACTGATACAATCTAAAAGGTGTTAGGCTGTGTGGTCTTAAAGCCGAGCAGAAATGTGTGCCGTGAAGTGGAGTTCGAGTTTAAACTCGTCTCTGTCATTGATGGAGAAGACATTGCGACATTTCTGTTGTGCAGGGACGAATAATTGATGTGTGTAGAAACAACTGAACTTGGGCAAGACGCGAAAATGTGCATGTGTGTAGAAACAGCGCTGCGATGGTTTGCTTCCAATGCAAGGAGTGCCGCGATTGTTGGCTTCGAACGAGTGTCGTCCAGTGCAGTAGTCCTTTTCATTCCACTGCTTCTCCGCAGTGTTAAGAACTGAACTTTTGAGAAGTACTGGTTGTTCGATGTGGCTTGGGGTCGTCTTGACATTTTTGGAAAATTTGTCCCAGATAGCTCCTTTCTGTGTCCAACTCTACGGGTTGGTGGTCGAGCAATGGACACCACTTGAGATAAGCGTGATGATTGGGTCAAATGGACAGGCAGTGTTGCATGGATGCTGGGGCTGGTTGTAGCATGGACACTACAAGCAGGTGATGGCTTCATTGTTATTTGCTGGTACGACAGAAGTGGAGACGGGAGCTTGAAAAGCTCCATTGTGAAAAGGGATCCATCACGAGTTCGATGGAAGACGACTAGTGTAGAAGGAATGGGTGGGAGGCGAAGGAGGGAGAGGTCAGCGAAGAGTTGCGAGGAGGCAGTGTAGGAGCAGGAGCAACAGTGGAACGAGGGCGAAGGAAACAGAGTTGCATGCCCGCTTTATCCATCGTCATTGTCATTTCTGAGGTGGCTGCTACTGTGCCGCGTCTGGGTTTACTAAAGTAAAGATGCGATGAGACTACATCGTGCATACGTGTCCGTTTCTCTTTCCTTCTTTCCTGTCTGCTTCCATACTTCCTGTCGCTTTCAGTTCTTTGCTTTGATAGGGGTGTGTGCCTGTGTGTGAGATTGTGATGAACGATGTTGGCATACTTGCGTTGATCTGAGGATGTGTGATTTGCAACCTTTAAGAGCAAGTAACAGTGCGATCTTTTGTGGTATAATAATGAAATTTGCGATGCTTTGACAGTCACACAGTTGCCCAACAAGGACTGGAATTGTATTTGTAGTAAGGTATATGGGGACTGCCGAGCTGCAACATATAACACTCCCCCTCCCACCTCACCGCCGCCCCCCCCCCCCCCCCCCCCCCCCCCCCCCCCCCCCCCCCCCCCCCCCCCCGGCCCTCCAGATGCTGAGAGAGAATTTCTCTAGGGGCTCTCGAATGCTACTTTTGTTTTCCACTGCCCATCTGCAAGATATAACATTCACCCTTCGGGACCCCCGGCTTCTCCTTCCCTCCGAATGCTGGGAGATAATATCTAGAGGGGCTATCAATTGCCCTTTTTGTTTGGAAAAGCAGACCCTGTTTTTGAGAAATCGGCAACGGGAGTGACGACTTTAGGAAATCAACGCCCAGTGCCAAAAAGATCAGAAGCTGGTTGGGGAGGACAGGTAAATGAGGAGGGGGGCGATTAAAGGATTAGCGCCACTTGCTATGTGATTGGTGTGTGAGCTGATTTTGCCCGTTGGCAGACATATATTTCGTTCAAAATGTGATGCCAG